CCGCCGCCCACTTTCCCCACGGCCGCCGCCGCACGCCGCGGTACCTCCTCTCCTCCGCCGGCGGCTCCGCCGCCGCCGGTGGACCCCTCTTCTTGGCCTTCTCGGAAAAGCTCGCCCTGACCAGCCGGACCTCGGTGACGTGGGTCCTGACCCGGCGGCAGGCACCGCCCTCGTCGTCGTCAGAGGAGTCAGTGGCGTCGCCGTCGGTGACGGAGATCCTCACCAGTCTCGGCGTTTGGTTCTCCGACCTCGGAGGGAAGACCTTGGTGGTGACGGATTTGTGAACGGAGTATTTGATTGGCTGTGGAAATCGTGGCTCCATTTTTCCTAGTGTGAAGTTATTAAACAGAGCATGTGAAAAAAATGGAGTCTTTATTATATAACTAAAAATGAAAACGATAATGATGTGAAGAACCCTTATTTATAGGAATGTGAGATCCCCTAATTATTGGGATTCTATTTTTTATTTTTATTTTTTTATAAATTTTGACCCTTTTTTTTAAAAAAAATTCATTTGGTGGTAAGTGCAATTATAGTAAACCTCCACCAAAATTATAGATTTATTTAATTTATTCATAGTCAAATTGTGGATGCATGAAAAAAAATAATTTAAATTTGTTTCATTAAAATTGGTTTTTGTAATTGGGACAAATTATTATTAATGAGTAAAAAAATCAAACATCTTTGTGTATTTATTTAATAGACTTTGTTTATGTAAGTAGAAATAGTAAATGCAGAAACTCGATAAGTTAAAAGATTGATTGAGTTGACTTGTTGTGGTTGCTTGTCAAACAAGTTTCAAGCGGATGAGTTTCTCTCGCTCAGATTAACTTGAAAGTACTTGTCAGTCAAGTTTCCAAATTATTATTGCTTTTTATCGTCATATTATTACATACATACGAGTTGGCCAGATTTACTTGCCTAAATAGTAAATAGACTTTTCCCTTTATTTTTTTAATATTTAACTGCAATACATATATTTTGTAGATTCAAGTATGTAATTTCTGAAAAAATGAAAAAAAAAAAAGTACGCAGAATCATAAACAACATTTAAATTATCTATATATATTTATATATATTGGTTTCATTTTGTATAATATTAATATAATAGCTAAAAATTAATAATTAAAATTTAATAATATCATAATTGATAAAATAGTTATTTATTTTTCAAGAGTATGATAACAAACAGTTAATTCTCTCAATTCACACAAAATTTTGTATTCAATCACGTGTAATTAATTAATTAATTATTAATTATTAACTAAAACAAAAAATATAAATTCAGGCTATCTGCTATCACATAAATACTGACGTACGAAAAGACATGCAGCAGAAGTTGTACGTTACGCATGATATGTGCTTTTTGGAAGAAACTTGGGCATCAAGACACTTGACCAGATTCCAGCGTAGTAATGTAACCCACTTTAACGCCTCGTGTGAATAAAAACGTGTCTTGTATTTTTTTTTTTAATTGGATTTACACAAACAATGAACTAACTAGTACAACACCCGTATGATACACGTGTGATTAAGAAAATTAGAATTTATAAAAAAATAGAATTACAATAATTTATATTATTATATAAAAAATAAATAATAAAATAAAAACAAAAATTTAATATTTATCGCAAATTTTGAAATAATATTATTCACATTATTCTGAAATAATGAAACCAAATAATATAGTATTCTCATTATTGTCGCAAGTGTGATTAGTGGGAAATCAAGGATTCTGTGCGAAATTCATTTTCTATAATATTCAAATGGAAAAATATCAATAGTTAATTGAATGAAGCAAATCAAAAGTCAGGATATACTATTAATCACTTAGTGCAACACTATGTAAGATTACAAAGAATTAAATGGTTATATTAGTACAAATGATATTAAAATACCTAATTAGCTAAATAATATTTATAGAATATCCGAACCTATATTATTAATTATTAATATGTCAATATTATTTATCCAAACCTAATTACGAAGCATGATTCTTCGCTAAGTAGAATTCCGAAGCACAACATAAGCAGCCACGTAGTTTCAACACACGTGTCACCACCTAACAAATCCAGATTTTACTTTCTGAGCAACTCGTGTACA